CAGCTGGGATTACAGGCATGAGCCACTGCATACAGCCAGTATAACAACTATTTACATAGCATTTACATTGTCTTAGGCATTACAAGTAATCTAGAGATGATTTAAAGTAGAGATGGTCCCTGGCTTACAATGGTTCAACTTACAATTTTTTGACGTTACGATGGGTTTATTGGGATGTAACCCCATGGTAAATAGACAAGCACACAGACTTACGATAGTTTCACTTATAATTGTTCAACTTTACCACGGGTTTATCAGGGTATTATTAACTGCAGTTTTGACTAAATGAAATTGTCTACTTACAATGGGTTTATTAGGACATAGCCCCATCATAAGTTGAAGAGCATCTGTATATGGGAGGATATGCGTACACTGTCTGCAAATACTACACCATTTATATAAGGGACTTGAGCATCTGCAGATTTTTATGTCCATAGGGAGTCCTGGAACCAATCCCCTGCAGATTCCAAGGGACAATTGTACTCTCCCACAAAATCGAGCAGCACAAGATCAGGGGCTATGTCTGTCCTGAGTCACCATAGAGGCCCCATCACCCGAATGAGCGTGGCCCAGAGCAGTTGACCAAAATAGACCCAATGAATGAGTGAATAAGTGACTCAGCCTATAAAATTGGAAGATAGGAAAAACATTTAACACAGTGCTGGCTAAGCTGTGGGCAGATGGGCACTGCCACTCCCTACTGTGCAGTGCTCACTGGTCTGTTCTTTCTGGAGTGTCAATGACAGTTTGCAACAGATATGACAAAGATGCTTTGGCCCACTGATCCAGTTTCCATCCACAATACCTGATGTGTGCAGATAGAAACATTTTTTTTAACCTACAACAGGAAACCATTTGGGAAAGCCTCCATTTTCAGCAACAGGGTATTGAATGAATAAAAACTCAGAAGTCATAGGAGAAGATGCTCTGATCCACCCATTAGATTTACTCTCTGCAGTGAGGTGCCTAGAGAGCCATTTATTATTTAAAAACACCCTGGGTAATTCTGACGTTCACCTGAGGACATCTTCATTGTCAAAGGAGGATGTTTAATGATTTGAAGACAAAGTCACGTATTATTGAACAAAAACACAGGCTACAGTAAAGTGTGCATAAAGTGAGCCAAGTTTCATTCAAAAAACTTCACTCAAATACATTGTGTCACACACATACATGCTCACAACGATGATCTGAAAATCCCTGCGCCAAAATATCTCCAGTGGTTGCCTCCTAGTGATATAATCATAGGTGATTTTTTTTCTTCTTTTTGGCATATAGAGACTTTAAATTTTTCTACAGTAAATATGTAACTTGTAATAAAATGTTATTTTTAAAAATAGCAGATGACCTTTCAAATACAGTGATTGGCAACAGGATACCAGGGACTACACAGACCAACTGGGAAAAGACCAGAACCCAAAAGCTTGAGGTTATACCCCAATTACAACCATGGCAATTGATGAGAATTGGAAGAAAATTTAAAGAAATAAATGTAGTAGAAGTATGATGTTCATAAGCTGGTTATGAAATTGCTCAAGCACCTACTTTTTTAAATTAAAAATAATAAATTGTGCTGTCAGCATAAAGTTAAAACTTGATTCAGTTAAAAAAAGAAAATGTGTGGGAGTGTTTGGCTCAGACAGCAGCAGAAATCTTTAAGCCAGGAAGACTGAACAGGCACAAGCAGAGAAGCCTGAGGATGCATCACAGAAGCCAGGCGAGGCCCAGGCCAGCTGACTGCAGGGCACTGAGTAATGAGGAAAGGACCAAAGAGAAGCCGGGGTGACAGTTCCCCCAGGCCCGGCCCTCCAGCCCAGGACTGCAGCTTCCCCATCAGTGTTTACAGCAAGAGCCTGTGCAAGAGCCAAAGGGAGGAACAGAAGGAGGTGCGGGAGAGTAAGCTCTTCCGACTACGGGCAGATGCGCTGTCTTGAAGAGTGCTTAGCATCTTCAAGTACAATTAGGGCTCCTGGGCCGCAGCCTCCAGTTTCTAACCTAGCATCGGAAGGGATAAATGAAGCTGATCTTAAGCGAGCAACCTGATAACCCACCTGCCAGATTAGGAAAAGCAGAAATAGACTGCTAATGCATCTGCTGGTCCGTGCTGGGCCTTTAATATGTAACCCCCACTGATACCCCAGCTTCCTGTCTTACAGGTGCAAGAAGACTGCTGTGAAGTGAAGCTTACAGGGGCAGCCAGGTGAGAAGAAGTAATATATTACCTGTCACTTGCAACTGAAGAGTAATGAGGCGGCCTCCAGGACTCAGTCATTGCAGAGCCCTCACTCCCCACCAGGCACGTCTACGTTAGAATCCTCTTTGCTGATTGCTTTTTTCTGGATACTGCCCTTGCAGGCAGGGCTGGACAGAAAATGTCCTGGGTAGGACGGATGAGGACGCCTGGGCTGGGACTGCAGAAAGCAGGTGAGTTCTAAGCCCCTGCTGCTCCAGGTGTGGCACTGGGACATGCATCACAGGATCCCCTGGGAGCCTGTCAGAAATGCAGAGTCCCAGGCCTAGCAGTCAGCATCAGGTGGGTCATGAGCACCCTGCTCTGAGGAGCCCAGGGCTGAGCCACAGCCAGGAGGGAAGCTGCTTTCTCCAGTCAGCACCACACAGAGGGTCAGGAAATGCACGTGCTATGGCCATGTTGGTTAAGGTGAGATCAGCTGTGAGCCACTGACAACCACAAACACAGGAGCTTAAACAAGACAGGAGTTTCCTTCTCTCTCATGAAACAGTATAGAGAAATGCAGTCCCGAGCTGGCGTCATTGTTCACCTTCACAAAGGAGGGGGACTCCTCCATCTTGCTTCCCACACGTCCTCAATAGTTGATCCTCCTCATGTTCCAAGATGGCTGCTTGAGCTCCAGCCCCCGCACTGCACTCCATCAGCCTGGGACAGGGAGGCCACCATCCTTATCTGACTCTACTCTCCCACCTTCTCCAGTCACCTCCACACCTGGGCACAGCTTCATACAAAGTCCGGCAGCCGTGGCCTGCATCCTGGGACGAGCCCTGGAAAAGCCTAAGTAATTATCCCGTGGAGCCCGGCAGGAGGATCTCTGTGTCCTGTGTCCCCCACCCCACATGGAAAGAGCCTGAGCGGCATCCATCTACAGGACCCACCAGGGAGGAAAGAGAAAGTCACTTCACTTAGGAAACATCTCTCAAACCCAGGAGATCTGCAGGACAGGGAGTAGAACAGAGGGAAGGTGCTGTTTGCAATCTCACTGACAATCACAGCTTGTTAACCTAATAGAAGTAGAGGAGTTGCCTGCATATCCAATTATGTGAGCAGGCTGGCCAGGAGTCAGGCCATTATCTCACTCATCTGGACGGACTCCATTACGCCATTGCTCTTTCTTGATTAAATCTTCTCTAACGATGTCTGTCCAGGGAGGGAGAGAATAATTGCATCTGCTGGAGGAGATGTGAGGGTGGCAGGTGGTGTCCCCAAGGACCAGCACCTCGTAGCCTCTCCCCCAGCCCTGGGGCCTTGAGTTGGTTTCACCCCTAACCTCTGCCCTTGACCACAGTGAGGAGCATTGTTCCTGCTAATGGTCACTCCAGCCTGTGTCTCCTCTTTGATTCTGTCTTCTTCATTCTCTCAGAAACATTTTACACAGCTGACAAGTTCTTCCACCTTGTAAATGAACTATCGATTGTTTTCTCTGGTACTGCATTCTCAATTTTCCTCCTGCCTCTGTGACTTTTTATCTGTCTCTATTATTGTCTTGTCTCCGCCTCATGACACCTAAACGTAGATATTCCCCAAGGCTCGATTATCAGCCACCTCTCTTTGGAAACTCTCACTTGGGACTCCATCTCTCTAATTTGAAAAATTTCCTTCCCTGCATCTCCAGTTCGACTCTCTCCCCACACTCTGTCTCCTCTGAAGTCCTGCCGTGTGACATCCCTGGCATGAGCAGGGCACATCCAGTCATCCGACACTCCAACACCCAGGTCCACATCGTCTCATGATCCACAACTAAGGTTTAGGAGTGTCTTGGATCTGACCACTGGGAGAATTTACCACCCAGCACCAGCAGCCCCCTTAACTTCTGCAGCACAGACGTGGACTCTTGACCAACGAGAGGCCATGGAACAAACAACTAGTCTGATGGTCATTGACAAATTGGATGTCACTGATGGCACTTGATGGCACCAAGAGCTAGAATTCTTCAAGTCTCAATTACCTGAAAAGCAGGGCTGTCTCCTTCCATTGAGCACTGTTCTCTCATAAGAGACATCGGGAAACACTGCCTAACGGTCCACCATAAACATCTAAAACCCCATGTGGAGGAGGTGTGACTGAGACGGGCTGCAGACCAAAGTCTCTCGCCCTTCTTAGCTGGGTGGCCACTTAGTAAATGCAAAAGATCAGCTCCCAATGCCAAGGCATCCAAGCATTTCACATGCAAAAAACAAGTATCTAAGGTTGAAACGTGTCATGCATCCCCTGGAGGTGCCCTGATCTCCACAAAGAGCCATTTGGAACATCTTGGCACAGTTAATTACTCCCTCTTACCAGGAAAGGTGACTGAGTTAATGCATGTCCCACTGAGATACGTCAGCTTTGGTAGGAGATCTCTTGTAGCTAAGAAGGAATCGTGATACAGAACTTTAGAAACCAAGCAGACCACCAAATCAGTTGTTACATGGCCTCTCACTCAGTCAGGGGAGTCCACATCTGTGCATGCTGGAGAAATTAATAGGGCTGCTAGTGCTGGGTGATGGGGCATAAATTACCCCAATGGTTAGTATTGATGGCTATGGCCTCTTTCCAAAGAAATAAGCTCTCAGAATTACACACAGCGGCTGAAGCCATTTTTAGCAGGTGGAGGCCATATATCACAGTCACGGAGATTTGTTTCCTTAGACCTTAACAATTATTTGCTCATTCTGATGGTCAGTCCTTCACTGAGAGCAAAGATAAAATGGTTTCCAGGAGGACAGACACAAACCCTATCTCCCATGCCCCCATCAGTGCTGCCTACCTGCTCATTGACATGACTTGAGGAGAGTCCAAAGGTTCCACTTATCGCAGAAGATGAAAATGCAGAATCTCAGAGTGCCCAGTTCCATTTCTCTAAAGAGTACAGGATGTTGTCAGGATACACTGATCCTTCCAAGCACCATTTAGTGTGAAGAAATCTCCTAGGGCTTATTATAGCAGAGTCTTAAATGTCAGCATGCATGGGAATCACCCAGAGGGTTTGTTAAAACATAGATTGCTGGGTTCTGCCCCCAGAGTGTCTGAGCAGGTCTGGGAAGCAGGACTAACAATGTGTATTTCTACCAAGTTTCCAGGTGATGCTGATGCTGCTGGCCCAGGAACCCCACTCTGAGAACCACTGGATTTAATGGGAAAGGAGCAATATTGCCAGATGGCACAGGACCCAGTGCTATGCTCCTCCTAAAGAACTATTATCCAAAAAGCAGGCCCCGTAGGGCTGGCTGCTGACCTGAGGGGTTTGTGAGAGTCCACCCAGGGTTCTTGGGAGATGTGGCCCCAGCTAACCTGGAGTCAGAGGTGGCTCTGGCAAGCATCCCCCTCCCACCTGCCCTTTTCACAGGCCCACACTCAGGGTCGTAGCAGTCGGAAGCCTGTGGTGAGAGCCACTAAGTCATCATCGGCTTTCCTTAGGGCTGTGTGGCAAAATCCCCACATGTCAGTTCGAGGCCACGCCCTGCAAGTCAGTTCCTCAGAGAAGCCGTCCCTCTGACACAGGCAGAGGACGAAAAAGAAGCCAACAAAATGTAGAAGCTGGCAGTGGAGTAGAGGGCATGGGCAGGGGAACAAACCCTTCCAAACCCCACTTCCCACACACGTGGCCGTTCCCACTCTGCACACTGTCTCCCTCAGCGTGGGTGGAAGTATCTCTGGGCCATATGCTCAGGGAAGCACTGATCGTCAAATTAGCCCTGTTCTTGCTCTAATTAAGACTCCCATCTGTTTCACTCATTAACCACCGCTGGCCTGTTCCTGCTTCTGGGGTTTCATTCCATATTTTAAAGGAGTCGACTGTCTCTCTTCAGCCAAAATCACAAAGGGTCCAGGTCGTAAATCAGGTGGGGCTCGAGGGCAGCCCCTCCCGAGTTCTGAGTCACTGTAGTCACACTTCTGTTCAGGCCCCTTGGGGTCCCCGCCCACCACACAGCCACCTGATGAGCCCCATCTACTCCCTGTCACTCACGGATTCTCTCCTCTCCTCATTGGGGTCTTCCTCCCACCCACAAGTGAGCTCCAAGGCTTGATCCTTCACAGCCCATCACACCTGGTGTGTGCCTCAGTTTACCCCTCATCACCTGGCCCAATGACTGAGACTCTGTCTCCCTCATAGACTGCAGGTTTCCTAAAGGCTGGGACTTGGTCTTTTTGTCTCTGTAACCCCGAAGTGCATCCCAGCACCAGGACTCAGCAGCCCTCAGGAAATGAACATTGAAAGAATGAGTGAATGGTGAACAAATGGACGGACGTGTAAAACTGCTGCACACGGATCTGGTACCTCCCCAGAGGAGGTGAGACGCGGCCATGAGCTTCCTTGTCAAGAAACCAAGAGCCTGGCACCGACAGCTCCTGGCAACGGGTGCCTATAAAACCCAGAACTGTTCCAGCACTTCAGAGCGCAGAGAAACTGCAGCCAGCTTTTTCTCATCATGCTAATGCACTAAAAACAAAACACCTGTTTCTGGGAAACAAAAATATCATGCATTATTCAGCTACAATCTTTAGATCCCGGGAAACCATATTTGAAAGGATCAATCACTGAGAAATAGGCACCAAAATGTGCTACTTTTAAAGTGATGGTCTGTTGTTTCTTAAAATGAACAACAAAAGATCTTGGGGGAACAGGCCTAGTTGAAGCTCTCTGAGGACTCTCAACATAGGCAGAGCTGTCAGTGTCCCTGGTCAAACACAGGAGAGGGGTCCCTGGATCTGCAGGAGGCTCTGGGCAGGGGAGATCGTAGCTAAGATGCACTTTCCTCTCTGATGCCATGACCCCTTCTGTTTCCCCAAGGCCAGCCCTGGTCTGGGGGGCTCCGGCCCTCCCATATCCACCTGCTCATGGGTGCGCTTCCGTGGGGCTCTCACCCTCACTCCCACACCCCCAGGATCCCAGATCCCACTCCTAAAACCCGAACATTCTCTGCTTCTTTCTCGGGAGTCTGGAATCATGATCAGTTAGTCCAGACTTTTTTTGAAAATGCCAAATTCAAAGCCAGGCCATAGGGCCCGAGGGAGGATCCCTCTCATCATCCTCTGAATCCTGGGCACGAAGAAAACCAGGAGACAGACTCAGAAAGGGCCAAGTGAGTTTCCTAAAAATGCTACAATTGCTCACTTCCTGGCTAGCTCTGATGCCTGCAAGCTCTTCACCATCCTCAGGAGGTGAGCGTCATGCAAATGATACCAATTTCCCACCCCGTGTCCTGTCTCTGAATAGACAGGAAGTACATGAGGTCAGTAGCATTTGACACACACAGAGGAAGGTGCTGCCGAGAGAGACCCAGGACAAGCAAGAGGAAAGAACAGACTCAGGGGAAGACTGTGAGGGTGGCATGTGGCAGAGCCGCCCACCAGCACCCAGACCACCTCCTAGGCCCTGTGCACGTGGAGACTGAGTGAGGACTTCTCAGAGTCTGCAGGTGGGACCCACCCTGTCCTCCCAGGGAAAGTGAGACCGTCACCCCAGGCTGGGCTGAGCAGCCCATGGGTCGCTGCAGCCCTCACACTGCACCTCACTATTCCCTAAAGGGCCCTGCAGGACTGGCCCTATCCCTTCTCTGGCCACATCTGTGTCAGAGATTCCAGGACCATCCCCAGGTTCAGAGACTCCCAGGACTCAGGCTGCAATTTATTACAGTGAAAGGACAAGCTGCAAAAACAGTAAAGAGAAAGGCACAAGGGGAACCAGGCACAAGCTCCCAGAGTCCCCTCCCTAGGGAGTCTCACAGCACGTTTAATTCCCCAGCGACGAGATGTGACAACACCTGGGAGAGCTGTCTATGAGGGACACTCACTAGAGACTCGGCGCCCAGGGTTTACTGGGGTCTGGTCATGTCAGCACCTGTGCCTGGCACAGTACAGAATCCCAGCCTCTCAGAAGGAAAGCAGGGCCTCAGCATAAACCCTATTGTTTGCACACGCAGCCTGGCCAAGGTCAGCCCCTCTTACCATTCGGTGAATCAGTGTGGGGGCCTCTTTATCAGCAAAGCTCCCAGGTCCCAGCTGAGGACCAACCTTGCCAGCAGGCCTCTGCAGGGAGGGCATCTTTGGCCTTCACAGTTAATTACTTCGGCACAAGTACCACCTCTGTTCTGCCCACGCTCACTGTCCCCAGCCACATGAGCTCCCACCAGCACCTTGACCTCCTGCAGGCTCAGCCTGGCGCCGCTCTCACCTCCATCCATGCACAGCTGGCTCCTTGTTGGCATCCAGGGCTCAGATCAATGTCACCTCCCCATAGCCACCCCCTCCCCACAACCACCCAGTCTACAGTAGCCTGTGTCCTGCTTACCACCACACAGCAGTGTTAGGCCCTCCCCACACTGTTCTCAAATGTTCTTATTTGTTTACTACCTGTCCTTGCTGGGATGCCAGTTCCCAGAGAACAGGAGCCTGGTCTGTACCCTCAGATCCTAACCGGGGAACAGGAGCCTGGTCTGCACCCTCAGATCCTAACCGGGGAACAGGAGCCTGGTCTGTACCCTCAGATCCTAACCGGGGAACAGGAGCCTGGTCTCTACCCTCAGATCCTAACCGGGGAACAGGAGTCTGGTCTGTACCCTCAGATCCTAACCGGGGAACAGGAGCCTGGTCTGCACCCTCAGATCCTAACCGGGGAACAGGAGCCTGGTCTGCACCCTCAGATCCTAACCAGGGAACAGGAGTCTGGTCTCTACCCCCAGATCCTAACCGGGGAACAGGAGTCTGGTCTGTACCCTCAGATCCTAACCGGGGAACAGGAGCCTGGTCTCTACCCTCAGATCCTAACCAGGGAACAGGAGTCTGGTCTCTACCCCCAGATCCTAACCAGGGAACAGGAGTCTGGTCTGTACCCTCAGATCCTAACCGGGGAACAGGAGTCTGGTCTGTACCCTCAGATCCTAACCGGGGAACAGGAGTCTGGTCTGTACCCTCAGATCCTAGGAGTCTGTTGTACCCTCCTAACGGGAACAGGAGTCTGTCCCTCAGATCCTAACCGGGGAACAGGAGCCTGGTCTGTACCCTCAGATCCTAACCGGGACAGAGCCTCTCCCTCATCCTACCGGGAACAGGAGCCTGGTCTCCCTCAATCCCCACAACCTGCCCCTCAGATCCTAACCGACAGGACCTCTCCCCCAATCCAACCGGGAACAGGAGTCTGGTCTGTACCCTCAGATCCTAACCAGAGTCTGGTCTGTACCCTCCTCCACAGACTGTCTCCCTAACCAGCATGTGCACATGATGAATGCAGGTGTGACGGTTACTACTTAGTATCAACCTGATGGGACTGAAGGATACAAAGTATTGATCCTGGGTGTGTCTGTGAGGGTGTCACCAAAGGAGATTCACATTTGAGTCAGTGAACTGGGAAAGGCAGACCCGCCCTCAGTCTGGGTGGGCACCATCTCATCAGCTGCCAGCTTGACTCGAATACAAGCAGGCAGAAGAATGTGAAAAGAGAGACCAGCCTAGCCGCCCAGCCTACACCTTTCTCCTGCGCTGGATGCTCCCTGCCCTCAAACATTGGACTCCAAGTTCTTCAGTTTGAGAACTCAGACTGGTTCTCCTTGCTCCTCAGCCTGCAGATGGCCTATTGTGGGACCTTGTGATCGTGCGAGTTAATATTTAATAAGCTCCGCTTTATATATATATTATATATATAAAACATATATATATTATATATGAATACACACACACACACATATATATGTGTGTGTGTGTGTGTGTATTCCATTAATTCTGTCCCTCTAGAGAACCCTAATACAGCACATAAGAAGAAGGGTGTTAATGGATACCTGAGTGAATGAAATGAAATTAAAAGTGCTCTGGGAACTGAGATGTTAATACACTCCTGTGTTGGAACTGTTCTCAGAGGACCTGGCTGTAGCATTCACAGCAAGGTGAGGCATCCCAGGGCCATGCTGCCTCTGGCCTCACTTCCTGCTCCTCTGCCCCTCACTCTGTACGCCCAGCATCTGGGCCCCTGACTGCCCCCCTCCCTACAATCTTCATCTGCCCAAGGTCCACGCCCTAGCTGTCCATGGGGCTAATGTGTGCCTTTATGTTTGCTCAGATACCACCTCAGCAAGGCCTTGCCTGACCAGATAATTTAAATGGAACTTCCTCAGCCCTGACGGCCTCATCCACCCCTGAACAGAGCCATGGCTGTATTCATCCAACTTCTAACAGTTTCAATACTTATTCATGACGGGCATCATTTGTCTATCATCCCTGACTAGAATGAAAGCTCAAATAAAGCAGTGACTTTAACAAATCCCCAGTGAGTCTTCCATAAAGATTTGCTAAGTTGGTGAATGACTCTTCGGAGGCAGGGCCACACACACACGTCCTATCTCACAGAGCACTGAGAGGATTAACCGAGACGATGGTAGATCAAAGGCTCAGCTCAGTGCCTGCCGAGGGCGTTCTGCACACCTGCCACCCATTCCCTGCATTAGCTGACACTGAGCACCCCACAGTTCCGAGTGACCTTGTACAAACAAGGTCTGAACCGGACCTGAGGAGCAGGTGGGCACTGATGGCAGAGAGGGAGGGAGCAGCAGGTTAGAGACAGGTGGTACACAGGTGCAGGGTGGACACACAGGTGTGTCTTTCTGGGGACAGTGAAAGTAGTGGTCTCAAGGGTGCCAGGGTTTAGAAAGGAGAGAGACTTTGCTGGAGACAAGAGCTGGGGACAGACTTCTGGTTCCAAAATGGTGACACAGAGCCAGGTCCAATGGCTCATACCTGTAATCCCAGCTACTTGGGAGGCTGAAGCGGGAGAATTGCTTGAACCCAGGAGGTGGAGGCTGCAGTGAGATCATGCCACTGCACTCCAGGCTGGGTGACAGAGTGAGACTCTGTCTCAATTTTTTTTTAAATGGTGACATAGAAGCAAGCTGGCTTCACTATCCCCCATCCCCACCCACTGCCACAGAAAACTAAAAACAAACATATAGGGCCAAGATGATCCCCAGCAATATCCTAGAACTCAAATGTGAGGATGGGCCACTTCCCAGGGCCACAGAGAAGTGACAAAACTCTGAGAAGATGGTAAGAGAATCAAATTTTCATGTCCATGATGCCCCTGCCTTCCATGACCCAGCACCAAGCACATGAAAAATTTCCCCCGTCTCAGTTTCTACACTGGAAAAAGTGAACTTGAGGTGGGCAATTACCTTCCCCCCGATCTTAGAGTCCCTGGCAGGACACTTGTCTCTGTCTCAGCCCATGGAAGCATTGAGAGAGTGCCTGAAGGGAGAAATATTCCTGAGGACAGCCAGAGACAAAGTGTGGAGGTGGGACTACCATCCCAGCCCCGGAAACTCTGCTCTGTAACTTGTCAAAGGAGACACCAAGCCAGAGTGACTATTCAGCAGCACAATGCGTAGGAGGTATGTTCCACAGGACACCTGGGCACGACCCTGAGCCAGCCTTCCCACACTACTGGGATATCCCTTTTGGAACCTTCCCCATTCAGACAGGGAGCACTCCTATAGTTTGCTAGAGCCAAGGCAAACCTGAGGTTAAGGGATCATGTACTACTAAAAAGGGGCAGCAACCTAGCAGGAAAAAAAAAATAAGAAATTCAACAGGTAAATTGCAAACATACCCAATAAAAACACAAGCCAAGCCAGATAGAGAACACTGGAATAAATAATCTTCAATGCAAAGACATAAATATACATTCACAAGAAACAACAGCAAACAGGGAACCATGGTCTCCCCAAATGGACAAAGCAAGAAACCAGTGACTGGCTCCATATGAGACGGTGATAACGAGCTCTCTCACCAAGAATTCAAAATTACGGTTTTAAGGAAACTCAGTGACCTCCAACATAACACTTAAGACATCTGTCAGAGAAATTGAACTAAAACATTGAAATAATTTTAAAAATCAAACAGAAATCTTAAAAGTGAGAAATACATTTACTGAACTGAAAAATTTATTAGAGGCTCTCAACAGCAGAATGAAGCAAGCAGAGAAAATAATCAGTGAGCTTGAAGACAGCCTATTTGAAATTATAGAGGAGAAAAAAAGGATGAAAAGAAATGAAGGTTGCCTACAAGATACAGAAAATTACCTCGAAAGATCAAATCTAAGAATTTTTTTTTGTGAGAGACAGGTCTCGCCTTCATTGCTCAGACTGGAGTGCAGTAGTGCAATCACAGCTTACTGCAGCCTTGACCACCCAGGCTGAAAGGACCCTCCCACCTCAGCATGCTGAATAGCTGGAACCACAGACATGCAACCACCATGCCCAGCTAATTTATTTAGATTTTTGTAGAGACCAGGTCACATTATGTTGCCCAGGCTGATCCCAAACTCCTGGGCTCAAGCGATCCTCTCACTCCCACCTCAGCCTCCCAAAGTACCAGAATTACAGATATGAGCAACCACACCTGGCTCAAATCTAAGAATTATTGGTGTTCAAAAGGAAGTTGAGCAAAAGCAAGGAGTGGAAAGATTATTCAAAGAAATACTACAAAAAGCTTTTCAAAACTTGAGAAAGACATAAATATCCTGATATAGCTAGGCTTTGCATCCCCACCTAAATCTCATCTTGAATTATAATCCCCACAATCCCCATGTGTCAGTGGAGAGACGAAGTAGAGGTCACTGGACCAAGGGGACGGTTTCCCCCATGCTGTTCTCATTATAGCGAGGGGGTTCTCATGAGATCTGATGGTTTTATAAGTGTGTGGTAGTTTCTGCTGTGTTTGTTCTCCCTCGGGCTGCCTCGTGAAGAAGATGCCCAAGTTCCCTTTGCATTCCGCCATAATTGTAAGTTTCCTGAGCCCTCCCCAGCCAGGTGGAACTGCGACTCAATTAAATAAATTACCCAGTCTCATGCAATTCTTTATGGTAGCGTGAGAATGGACTAATACATATCCATATTCAGGAAGATCAAAGAACACCAAACAGATTTGACCCAAATAAAACTACCTCAAGGCATATGTAGGGTCCAGCCCTGTGGGGCTTTGCGGCTGTTCTCCCCATGTGTGGAGACATGAGATTGTAAGAAATAAAGACACAAGACAAAGAGATAAAGAGAAAACAGATGGGCCCGGGGGTATCACCACCACCAAGATGCAGAGACCGGTAGTGGCCCTGAATGACTGGGCGTGCTAATATTTATTGCATACAAGACAAGGTGGCAGGGTAAGGAGGGTGAGTTGTCCAAGTGATTGAGAAGGTCGAGCAAGTCACGTGATCATGGGACAGGGGGCCCTTCCCTTTTAGGTAGCTGAAGCAGAGAGGGAAGGCAGCATATATCAACATTTTCTTCTATGCACTTATAAGAAAGACCAAAGACTTTAAGACTTTCACTATTTCTTCTACCACTACCTACTAAGAAGTTCAAAGAAGAACCAGTAGTATGGGAGGAATGTGAAAGTGGACAAGGAGTGTGACCATTGAAGCACAGCACCACACGGAGGGGGTTTAAACCTCCGAATAACTGTGGGCAGGCCTGGATAATATCCAGCCTCCCACAAGAAGCTGGTGGAGCAGAGTGTTCCCTGACTCCTCCAAGGAAAGGAGACTCCCTTTCATGGTGCCTTCCCAGGCACTGGTGTTACCACTTGACCAAGGAGCCCTCAAGCGGCCCTTATGCGGGTGTGACAGAGGGCCCACTTCTTGCCTTCTAGGTCACTTCTTACAATGTCCCTTCAGCACCTGACCCTATACCCACCGGTTATTCCTTGGTAATATGAGTAACACAACAAAGAGTAATATTAAAAGCTAACGATTAATAATGTTTATACTAATGATTGCTAATGTCCATGATCATCTCTATATCTAATTTGTATTATGACTATTCTTATTCTATTTTCTTTATTATACTGAAACAGTTTGTGCCTTCAGTCTCTTGCCTCGGCACCTGGGTAATCCTTTACCCAGAGCATAAACTCTCAAAGGTCAAGGACAAAG